TAAAAAAAAATATGTGATTTTTTCCAATTCTGTATCTCTCTCCATTCATGTCCTACTACTGCAGCCTTTTCCTCTGCCTCAAAGAAAACTAGTGAAGCTCCACAACAAAACTCACCTTGTGCACCTTTAATTGATGACAGAATTTGCAAAAGACATCCAAAAACCCACCAGTGGTTTACTTTATATTATGTGTCCTGGCTAGACTGGCTGTTGGCTGTATAATTTGTCTAGTTTTGTCTGGAGTCTTAGACTGTTCAGCTGCTTCAGGGCAAAATCTTTTGGGGTGTCATTAAATGGGATTGATAATTGGCTTCTGATGAATATTCATTGTGACTAATGACTTTGGGCAAATTTTACACATACTATCTTTCTATTCTCCCACTGAGTGAAATTTTGATAGGATCATTTTCCTCAACTTGCACGTCAATTAAATATTCACAATACCCTCTTTGTTGACAACACTCCAAATTATATATTTTCATGACTTGAAAATTTTGCTTTTCCTAAAGAATGAGTAGTGGCCCTTTTCATCCTTTATTTTTTTGAAATGGAGTTTTAGAATTATCTTTTAAAATAAGTGACTAGTGGTAATTTATAGGACATAATATTTCGTTTCTGGTTAAACAGCTGTGTTCTAAGATTTGTCTTGTAATTGATTTAACCATTATTCATTCTTAAGTAGTGGTGCACATAGTGCGTTAGGATTTTGGAGAAGAGCCAAACAATTTCTTTTCTTTGTTTGTTTGTTTTCTTAATCAAATGCGTGAATGCATTTTATCCCAATTATAGAGATTTGGCCCTTAGGAACCCTTCTAAGGAAATGATCGAACACCTTAAAACCTTGATTTTTATGTGGCACACTTAATTTTTAAATCTTGGCATTTAGCTTGGTAGGTTTTTTGAGGCTTAGGAGATTTCTGCCACTTTATCCTTGATATAGGATTTTGACTTAAACAATTTTAATCTGAAAAGAAACAGGTAATCAAATTCTGTCTCAACTAGGACAATTCTGTTGAATGAATTCTGTTTTTGTTTTTTTTAAGGAGAATACAAATAAATGCATGACGAAGAAAGATCATTTGTATCTTTAAACTCTATGAGATACCTTTGTATGATACCTCATAGAGTTTAAAGTACTTTTATTTATTGTGTTATAAAGTTACAGAGTAGGCATATCATTGAATGGATTATTTAATTTTACAAAAGTGGCATATCAGTGTATCTGAGTATATTATTGCTTTGGAATTTGAGTCATGGATATCTCTCAGATTCATGAAATTGTTGATTCAATACCATTGAACATCAGGCTGCTGACTATCATGACTATATTCTAAACAGAAATTATTTAGAAAACATTGCACTTTGTTGTTATGTGCCATAGAGCCAGTTCCAACTTCATAGTGACCATATGCACCACAAAACAAATCACTGCCCGGTCCTGTATTTCCTAACAATTGTTGCAATGTTTGAGTCCATTGTTGCAGCCACTGTGTCATTTCATCTCATTGAGGGTCTTCCTCTTTTCTCTTAACTATCTACTTTACCAAGCATGAGGTCCATCTCCATGCTTCCGTTCAGAAGTGGTCCGAGTCTCCTCTCTAGTCTGTCTTCATCTGGAAGCTCCACTGAAACCTGTCCACCATGGATGACCCTGTTGGTATTTATAATACCAGTGGCATAGCTTCGAGAATCACAGGAACACACAAACCACCACAGTACAACAAACTGACAACCGAGTGGTGGTGTATTTACTAGCATACATATATTAGCATATATATGTCAAGAGTCCTGGTGTGGTGCTGTAGGATAAGCACTGGACTGGTAACCACAGGTTGACAGTTCAAACGTAGCATTCGCTCTTGGAAACCCTATGTCGAGTCACTGTGAGTCAGAACCGGCTTGCTGGCACAGCAACTACAACAAATATATGTGTCACGGAATTCTAGTGTGGCATTGTAGGAGAAACACTGGACTGCTAACCACAAGGTTAGCAGTTCAAACCCACCAGCCGCTTCTCAGAAAACTTACATAGGATTTCTGTGAATTGGAACTGACTCAACAGCACATAACCAAATATATATGGCTCAATTGTAGACTTTTGTCCCTTGCAGGAGATCCAAGTTCAATTCCTGACCAGTGCACCCCAAGCACAGCTACCATCTCTCTGTCAGAGGAGGCTTGCATGTCACAGTGATGCTGAACAAGTTTCAATAGAGCGTCCGAAGTAAGACAGACTAGGAAGAAAGGCCTGGCAATCTTTCAAAAAATCAGCCAGTGAAAACCCTATGCATCACAACTGCCCAGTTTGGTTGTGTATGGACTGCCATGAACTGGGCTGATTTGACAGGCATTAACAGTGCCATTGCCACTGAGGACATGGAGGTGAAGAGAGACAGGGTCTCTCTCTACTACTGTACAGTGAGGGGCAAATGTGCAGACAATTATATTCTGTTAATTTAATTATTTATTTATATGCCAAGGGGAAAGATGCAATTCTTCACCGAAGATAGTACTTGCACAGAGACCTGGAAGAGGAGGGGTTTGCCAGAGTCACAAGTCCAGCTGATTTAGGAAGGGGTACAAATAAATTGTTAAAAGAAGTGCATAACTCTTCTGGGTCTACAGATGATTTATTCTAAGGGTACACTTGGGGAAGGCAGTAGAGACTAGCCTAAGAAGCTTCTCCTAGATAGACAGGGAGCAGTTCATGGAGATGTGCTTTTTGCAGACAAACCACTGAAGACTCTGAGTAGGGAGTAGAGTGACTGAACCTGCACTTTTGGTTGAAAGATGGACAGAAAGGGGTGGGGCCTGAGTCCCACGTCAGCCTGACTTCAAGTCTTGACTTCAAGAATTGAAGTAAAATGGATTTATTCTCTACTCACTCAACACCAACAAAGATTTTTTTGTCTGTTCTAACCCTGAGGAATTAGTTATGTATGTATCACAACTTCCTATATGGAAACCTACCAAAATGGATTGGGAAGGGATGGATTAAACCAGTGGAGTCGCTCAGAACAGCTCTTGAGTGAGCTTGCTATGTTATCTCCTGTTCGCGCCATGTACCTGATTTAAAAGATGGGGCCTGAAGTAAAGGGGGAGTTGGGGAGTCACAGCTCTGGCTTTAATACACAGCTCTCACAACTGTGAAACATCAGCAAAATATCCAATTTAAAGCTGTTCGTGTTACACTAACCTCTGGGTTTCTTTTAACTGGGCCTTGGCACGTCACTCTTTCACCACGTAAATGTCCTTCTGTCAGCAAAGGCCAGTTAACAGCTTCCAAAAGAAGCAGTGTCCTCAAGGGAACAGACTTCCCAGAAATCAAAGAAACACTAAAGAAAAAAAGACAGAAAGAAACATGTGTTGTTGGCTTTTGTCACTTCATAGCCATGTCTCCAGAGGTACTGGGGTTTTTTCTGTCTTTATAATGAATTTTGAAGCAATTTTATCTGTTATATTATCTGTTTCCTAAATTTTTAATTGTATCAAATACCAATTGTACAATATATCTAGCGCTTTACAAATAAATACAAAAAGTAATACAAAATGGAAGACATGTCAAAAGAATGGGGAAAGGAGGGACTAGTCAGTGAACAGTGCTGAGGCAATTGATTAACTATGTGGAAAAAATAAATTCTCACCTCAGTTTTTAAACCTAGATTAACTCCAGATGGATTAGAGAGTTAAGTAATGGGGAGAATACGTGGAGGGCGTCATTAGGAGACAATCATAAAGGAAAAAATGTGTCTATGTCATTATTTAAAACTCCTCTTCAGCCAAAAGTTCAAAGAAAATTTGAACAAGGGTAAATGATTTTTTAAAAATCTTTGAAAGAATTAGTGTCTTTTATATAATCACCAGTGTTTGTGTAAATCAATTTTTAAAATTGCCAACTCTTATTAGAACAAATTGAAGAATTTAAACAGACCATTTACCTAAGATATACAGGCAAAAGACTATGATAGAATATTCAGTCTTAATCATGATCAGAGAAATAAAAGTAAAAATAAGATATATACATTTATAAAATTCCTAACTTGACTATAATGCTTAGCTCAGGTGAGGAACAGGGAGACTGCTATCCCAGTACATGGTTGGGAAAGTGGAAAGAGCCTCCATCCTCATCTTTTTATGATGTTTATATATTTATGATATCTGTATTTATTAAGGACTCCTGATGTGGCACTATAGAATTAGTACTAGACTGCGAACCACAAGGTCAGCAGTTCAAATCCACCAGTTGCTTCTTGAAAACCCTATACAGGGTTGCTATGAGTCGGAACCAACTTGAGGGCACTTAACAGCAACAACAAAATGTATTAAATGACTTAAAATATTTATAGCCTTTGTCTCTTAATTCTATATGTAGGAACCTCATAGAAAAATGATGGACCTGATCCAATTATGTGGTAGAAGAGTGATTGAATGTTGTATAGGAAATTCACTGAGTACAGCATTATAAAATCATTAAAGGATACATTTTCTAAATATAAGAGCTTCAAAAAGTTTGCAGACACATTTCATTACCATTCTATTCCAGTTTTCTACAAGCTTTTTGAAGCCCCCTCATACTTAAATATGTGGGGAAATGCCATTATACAATGTCAAGTTTAAGAAAAAAGCAGGGAGGAGGCATTTACAAAGATTCTAATAAAAAAGAAAACGTGAATCCTATACAGGGTCACTATGAGTCGGAATGACTCTATGGCACTTAACAACAACAATACCCTAAAATTTTCATTTATGTTCAGATGGTAGTGACTCATACTCTTTTCTTTTTCCATTTTCCCAATTTTCAAAAAGTCAGTTTTTTAAAAATGAAAGTGCTTTTGAATGAAAGTGGTTTAGATAACTGTGAGAATTATTTATCCAGATTTTCTAGTTATAATTTAAAATATGCAGATGAGGCCTGTATTTAATTTTACTGGTGAATTTAAATGATACTGTTTCTTACGTTGCCTTTCGAGCTCTGAAGCTCTGATTTGCTTCTGTTGCAGCTGACTGCCTGCATCCACGGTTCTGCTGCAATGCTCTACCCCATGTACTGGCAGCATGTGTACATCCCCGTCCTGCCACCACATCTGCTGGACTACTGCTGGTAAGGCTGCTGCTTGCCCTGCCCTCTGCTTGTCCTTCATGAGTGAACCGGTAATGGTAGGTCTGTAACATGTTCATGAAGTAGGTGATGGAATTCAAAATACTAATTTCAAAATGACATTTGCATGACACTCTTACTTCCAAATGGTTTGCATATATGTCTTCATAGCATTCTTACAAGTTCAAAAGAGCAGGCAGTACTTCGCCCATTTCTTAGTTTGGGGAAACCAAATCACCAAGTAGTTGTGTGGGCTTGGTTTTGATTTTTGTTTCTCCTAAGACAAATTGGGAGTCAGCGACAAGAACGATTTCAGATCCCCGAGGTCTTCAGGCTCTCACCATGTCCTGACATGTTCGATAGACTAGCTCTCAGCTGTGGTTTGGGAGCACACACTAGACATCAGAACTCTCTGAAGTTTTTGATGAGAATATCACTGTACAATAAAATGTGTTTTAAAGGCACTTCTACCTTCCAGCTACATAACCTTGAGCAAGTCACTTGGCTTAAAATTCTGTTTCCTCATCTGCAAAATTGAGCTGTTCAATACATAACTATGCAAAGATGATATGAGGTAGCAGTTTCCACGTAGGACATGTAGAAAAACTGACTCATGGTGCTTAATTAATGTTCCTGCCAAAATATCATCCTCATCACTGTCTTTGGTAGATTACAGAAGAGACTGACACTGACTAATTTGAATCTGATTTCTTTACGAATAACTTTTCTTCAGTATAATATGATTAAAGACGTTGTCTCTAAATAGCTCAAATCAGCAGAAGCAGCGTATATAGGAAAAGGCACAAACTGCCTGTCAAAAATTGAGAGCTTCAGGAGAAAGGGATCATTTGACGACCATGTCACCTAAGAACAATTTTGAGTCAAGATATTTGCCACTGGTTCAATGAATGATTGAGTCCAGGCCAGTGACCATTTTTGCTGGGATCTCTAGCCCATTCTGTAATCATCTCATTGAAAAGATCCACTCAGGAACCACATTGTCCTGGGATTGAGAAAGATATTCTACAGTTGCTCCTTTTTGATTGTGTTGAACTCACACTCATCCCAAGAAGCCATGGGCATAATAAAGATATAGTTTCAGGGCCATCAAATAAAAATCAAATGTGATTGAGTGTCTAGTGCATACAACTAAGTAAATTGGCTCATTTCTGTCTTTATTTTGTATGAATCTTATCATGGTGGGTGTTTTTTATCCATCTCTTCCTCCCACCTCTTAAAGAGGTAAAAGGTCAATTGTCTTTCTTATCATATGAGGTATATAATCCTGGCCTATTAAAACTTTCTTCTTTCAATTATTTCTGGTTATATGGTGACTTCAGGTACAGTTGCTTTAGGTTTTATTCTTTAAATATCTTCTGGAGTAGATTCTCACAGATACAGAAGAATAAGAATATACATCCCTCATATTGAATTTTCCAGTTTATTACATTAAATACTTGTGCCTGCCTTTTCCCTCAGGGACTACTTGTGAAAAAACACTCCCCTGTATCACGTTCTCCAACATCTCCCTTCCACTGGGGATTCTTTGGAATATTGAATCCTCTCCAGTTGAAACTCCTTTTTATACTCTCAGACTCCTGTCCCCACTGTGATGGCCTGGTGCCAGCTCTGTCCTTTGGCTTCTAGCCCAGCAACTAAGAGCCTTCTTCCCTGCCCTGTCACTGTGGTCACCATCCCTGTCCTGTCACTGTTGTCTCCATCCTTGCCCTGTCACTGTTATCTCCATTCCCCGTTTGTTTAGAGGTCCACATCTTTCCACTTCATTTCCTGCCACCCTCAGTGACTCTAAAATCTATCTACACCTTTGGCCGTCCTTTACTTTGGCCGTCCTTTACTTTCGCTGTACTCTCATGTGCTGTGTTTTCTCATCAATAGAGATGCTGTTGCCCTCTCTCAATGAGGTCATGGTAGGAGCACAAACAGGGATGGGAATGAAGGAGGACTTCTAGTAATGGAGCCTCAGCTCCCTTACTGCCTAGCTGTGTGACTTACAGAAAATGACTTTTTCTCTTGGAATTCCCTTCTTTATCAGGTGAAAATACTGATACTTATTCCTAGAGATTGTGAAATCATGTATATGCAAAAGGACTTTGTAGACTGGAAAACACTGTCAGCCATCCAACAGGGTACCACACCACAAATATCATTTGACCATTTGAAACTCACTTAATTTGTACATCTGTTGCTGAAGAATTCTCCCTTCTGATTCACACTTACTTTCGTCAGCACCGAGACATCTTTTATTTTGAAAACCCCATGTCTCTTTGCCGTGGCTTTCTTCTACCCTTTGCCCCCTCTCAGCTCTACCTACCTGTTTATTAACCTCTTGATTTTATTTGCTTTCCTACTTGTCTTGAACCTTGATGAGATTTTCAGTACTGCAGACATACACTGATACAGTGTCTTCTCAGTCACCCTGCAAAGTGCAGGGAAGACATGTGAGAGCAAGTTTAGACCTAAAGCGTGATTTGTGCACAAGATGTTAAGATACACTGATATTTTTTGTTGTTAATGCCTTCAAGTTGGTTTTGACTCATAGTGACCATAGTGTATAGGGTTTCCAAGGAGCGACTGGTGAGTTTGAACCGCCGGCCTTGTAGTTCAAATGGCTTCGCAGTCTGGCAAATTAACCCACAGCACCATATTAGGTAGGAGCTATTCCAGGATTTCTTACCAATTCCCAAAGACTCATGCTCCCTTAATTTAAACCATTAAATGTTCCCTTGTTTTGTTCGAACACCTGCCTCTTGGTCTATGTACAGGTTCCTCATCAGCACAATAAATTATTCCAGAATACTCATACTTCTCAATGTTGTCCACAGCTTGTCATGATCCACACAACGGGAAACCTTTCATAGTCAATAAAGCACAGGTAAACACTTTCTAGTATTCTCTGCTTTCAGTCAAGATCCATATGATATCAGCAATGGTATCCCTCCTTCCACATCCTCTTCTGAAACTGGCTTGAACCTCTGCAAGTTCTTTGTCAATGAATGGTTGCAGCCGTTTCTGTATTACGTTTAGTAAAACTTTACTTGCATGGGATATCAATGATATGTCTGATGATTTCTGCATTCCATTCAGTCACCTCTGTTTGGAATGGGCTCAAATACAGATTTCTTCCAGTCAGTTGGCCAGATAGTTGTCTTCCAGATATCTTGGCATAGATGAGTGCCTCAAGTGATATATCACTTTGTTGAAAGATTTCTATTTGTAGTCCATCAATTCCTGGTGCCTTTTTTGCCAATGACTTCAATATACCTTGGGCTTCTTCCTTCAGTATCATTGGCTCTTGATCATATGGTACCTCTTGAGATGGTTGAACATCGACCATTTCTTTTTGGTACCATGATTCTGTATTCCTTCCATCTTCTTTTGATGCTTTCTTTTTTACCCACAGAATCCTTCAATACCACAAGTCGAGGTTTGAACTTTTTCTTCAGTTCCCTCAGCTTGAGAAATGCTGAGTGTGTGTGTTTTTCCCTTTTGGTTTTCTAACTCCAGATCTATGCACATTTTGTTATAATATTTAACTTGGATCAACTGTCAACACTCATGGAAGCAGCAGTCAAAAATTCAAAAGACGTATTACACTGGGCAAATCTGCTGCAGAACACCTCTTGCTGTCAGTTTAAAGAGTGAGGTATGCCTGACTCAAGCCATGGTATTTTCAGTAACCTCATATGCATGTGAAAGCTGGACAGTGAATAAGGAAGACCATAGAATTGATGCATTTGAGTTATGGTGTTGGAGGAGAATATTGAAAGTTCCATGGACTGCCAAAAGAACAATTAGATCTGTGTTGGAAGAAGTGCATCCAGAATGCTCCTTGGAACCCAGGATTGCCAGACTTCATCTTTCATACTTCTGGCATGCTTTCAGGAAGCACCAGCCTCTGGAGAAGCATATCATGTTTGGTAAAGTGGAGGGTTGGAGAAAAAGAGGAGGAATCCCAATGAGACGCAATGGCACAGTGGCAGCATCAGTGGGTTCAAAAGTAGCATTGATTATGAGGTTGGCCCAGGATCAGGCAGTTTCTTGTTCTGTTATGCGTAGGGTCTCTGTGAGTTGGTACCAACTCAATGACACAACAACAACGTCCTCCCCTGGCCTTTCCACTTACCCTGGGCCCAGCTTCCATTCTTCTTATCTGCATCTCATCTAGCAGTACTGCTAGTTGTTGTTAAGTGCTATTCCACTGAGTTGATTCCAGCTCCTAGCAACCCTGTATAGGGTTTCTGAGGAGTGGCTGGTGGGTTTAAAGTGCCTACCTTTTGATTAGCAGTCCAGTGCTTAGCCTACTGCTCGAGAAAGTCTCAACCCTCCATTGAAAAGAGATTCTATTAGGAAGTGACCCTGTCTAACCTCCTCTTCTCTACTGTCAATTCCATGCTCCATGGAAGTTGCCCTAAACCCTCATGTCCCCTGCCACACTGGAGACTCTCCTTGCCTCCACTCCCCGTGCACCATACTCAGGGATGGGCTTCATCCCCCTGGTACCTTGTTTTGGTGAGAAGGGAGAGTCCATATGGTCTGTTTCTAGTACTAATTTCCTCCCTGTCCCCAAGGTTTGCTCCATGATGTTTGTCATCTCCTCCTCTACTATCCCTGAGGAATGAAGAACTATCTGGCCAAAGCCATTGACTTCATCTGGGCTTGATTGTATCTCCTGAGAATTCTCAGGTATCCATCTCAGAGCTCTCTACTCTCTGGCACCAGAAACCCCTTTTCCTCCACATCCCTCCTCTTATTACCAATATGCTCAGGTATCCCATTCCTCAGGGTAGATCTCTGCTTAATTTTGCTGCCCCTTTGAGCTTCTGAACCAGATGTCTTGCCTTTTTTCACTGCCATCTGAACAAAGATTGTGTTGTTCTGGAAAAGATTGTATTGTTATTTGTTGTGGTCTTAGTGAAAGACTGGGAGGAGAAGGGGCAGAGGCTGACACTGAGATTCCGAGAGGAGGAAGCAGATAAGTAGAA